AAATGTTTAAAAAAATCTGAAATAAGGTATAGGCAGAAGGCTAATTTTTATTAGTATGAGAAGGGCATTATGGAAAAGTGATATTTTAGGTGAGTAGTATTTTAATAAGCGGAGAAGAGTGATAGAAAAGAGGCCACCTCGGCTTAAGGATGGAGTATGGGATAGCAAATGACATGGGATAACAAAACGATGGAGTGTTCAGAAAATGACTTGTGGGACTGGAGCCAATAGTTGGTATTAGTCTGGGTAACAGAGGCTCCTGACTGCTGGACTATAAAACTTTGGTTTATTCAAAACCAATGGGGAAATACTTGAAGGTTTTCGGCTACCATAAGCTTCTACTCTTACTTTTGCTAGTATAACCTATAGTTCACAGAGTAGTCAAGTGATTGTAGAAAAAGAATTAAACTCTCCATGAAGCTAAAGCCCTCACCATAGCCCAGCTATATCTCCGATCACATGACCTGTCTCTCTGAAGTTTACTTTGAATGAATTACAGTATTATGTACAGGCAAATGAAAACATAGCAGAGAACATACAACCCATACCTATCCCAGAGACCCAACTGGGTGACTCCAAAGGAATTCAGGACTATAACTAGAGGCCCATGGATTCATCTTCACCCACTCTCTTTTGCAAAAAAGAGGATGATATTAGAGAGTTCAGTACATGTTCTGCTCATATATAATTTACTCAATGATCTTTCTTTGATCAAAATGTTAAAGAGAACTAGTCTAATCTATATAGGTCAAAGTAAGGTAATAATGAACCTGAAAATAGGAAGAGAAGAAAGATTCAGCAAAATCTGAGTAAGGAAAGACAATATCGTCCTGAAAAAAAGAAACGAAGGTATTGTGTTTCCAATGGATTGGTGGTGACAATGGGGAAATGAACATAAATCAGATAATCACTCAACAAACTTACTGAGCACATACTAAGTAGTCTTTGTTCAGCACCAAAGACTAAAGATACATATATCTTGGCTTTGAGATACCCATGGTCAATTCAGGTTAAGATGCATAAATGTTACAATTTACTAACTAAAATGGGGAAAAGAGTAGAATATTTAACTTGAAATGAGGGATTTTCTAGATTTTTTTAAAAGATATAATACTTGAGCTGAGTGTCTTGAAACTAATTTGTAATTATAAATAACAGTTATTTTCTTTAATTTCTTAACATCAGTTGATTGGGATTTAATACACCAAGCAAATATAATTAAACCAAATAGTAATAAGACCCTTGACTTTACTACCATTAGCCCTCTTCTCCAAGTAATTCAACTGTCATATACATATACACCAAAACCACACATAAAGATGTCAAACAATTGGAATAAAGTTATATAATGAGGGCACACTTTAGCAACTGGTTATTATACAGCCATTTTTAAAAATGAGTTATAGATATGTACAGTAGTCCCTGTGTATCTGTGGGGGTTACATTCCAAGACCCTAAATGGATTCCTGAATACCAAATCCTATATACACTATGTTTTTTCCTATATGTACATACCTATGATAAAATTTAATTTATAAACTGGACATACTGAGAGAGGCAGAGAGAAACAGGGAGAGGAAGAAAGCACCCTCTGATGGGGCGTGTTCTTACCACATTCCTTCTCCATTTCTCTATTCTGTCAGGATTTGGGTGATGTATGTGCATACACCAATATATTTTTTCCAAGGCACCCATGCCAAGGTTCAGAGAGTGGTTGGCCACGTGGTATCTGGTTTCCTTAACTACTATGTCACAGATCCAACCCCCAATAACTGTGTCAATATTTATATCTGTTTCCCAGAAAATCTATCTTCCATTACTCTTTAGGGAGTCCTTCCATGTTGAACATTAATTATCCTTACAGTTGAATATAATCTAATTTATATATTTTACTGTTTATTTGTACCCCCAACTAGTATGAACTTCACTTGAAAGGAGGATTGGGTTTCACTCACCTTTGCCTATATGATTCTTAATTCAAACTTCAGTACATAAATAAAAATTCAATATATAGTTAAAAAGTGTGAATGATGATATGACTTGAAATTAGGTATCTGGCTTCACACTCCTTTGACTAAATTAGCCATTTCTTTTTTGTCTACTGATTGTTTATGATTATTGCTTATAATTGAAGGGTAAAAATGCTGCAGTTTGTAGTTCATTTTAGTACTATAGAAGTATCACATTCACAAACAACTAAAAAGAACATCAATTTGCAGCACTAGTAAAAAAAAGTATGTTATTTTAATTGTAAAATTATAGTTAATTTTTACATATAGCATTGATAATATCTTTGTCATATTTAAGCCAATAGGAGGTAGAGTGGAAAAAGATTCAGGCATAATGGGAAAAAAAGAGCACTGAAGGTAGATGATAGAAAGGAGCATATTGGAAATATATAGAAATCAGTTAAAAAAAGGACCATGCCTATCTAATTAACTATTGTATTCCAGTATTTAATGCAATCATATGCCACATAATGACACTCCAGTCAACATGAACTGCATATATGACAGTGCTGCATGTAAACTAGGTGGGTAATAATTGATACCAACTATGTTTGTGTAAGTACACTTTATGGTTTACACAATGATGAAATAATCCAACAGCATATTTCTGAAAACATTCCTGTCATTCAAAACTGTATAGTCTTGGTACCTAGATTAATAAAAACCTGCTGAATAAATTACAGAAAGTTTATTAGTACATTTTCTAGCCTATAAAGATGTTGCTTGCTTCAGAAGAGAGTCTATTGTTAATTTCATAGGGTAGAAGTACTCATTTTAATTATAAGTTAATTTATTTAAATGACTAATTCATCTAGACATTTCTTGAGCACCCACTATATACTAGATTTTGTGTCTAGAAATATAAAGATAAATAAGACATATCCTAGGTGAATTTACAATTTGCTTGATTAAATAAATACATAAAATATTTGCAATGCAGTATAATTGTTATCATATGTACATGTGTAAGTATGAATATATAAATCACAGACTAATAACACAAGAAAAGGATAATAAGTTTCATTTGTTGGATAAGGAGAGCAGATCTAGGAACAATTCATTTTAAAGGATGAATAAAGAGTTTTGAGGGTCCTTGTTGCCTACTTAATGCACTATTTAATTTGCCATGCCATGATAACACAGATAATTTACCATTGCTTTGTATGGTTTGTTTTTTTAAATCTATTTCTTGTTTATGAAACCACTTTACTTATTATTGGTCCTTTATTATTATACTAGTTTTATTAGACTCAAGATTCTTTAAAACATTAAGTCTAAAATGTCTGTTACTGAAAAGGTCATGCACTAAATATTTATTTATATTTTTTAAAAGCCTCCTAGGTCTTGAACAAGGAAAAATAAGGAGTTCTGTAGTTTTATATTAGCCTTCTTGCATACCAGAAATTGAAATGCTATCTGTTCAGCAATAGACTTATTTTCTTCATTTGTTAACAAAACTTACTTGTGATGCATATAGATGCATGAAATAGTTGATCGGGCTCTGTTTATTAAAAAGTGCTAGCTTCAATACTGGAATCCCACTCTTATGGAATCAGCAATTGCACTGTCAAGGAAACTTCCCATTGGCAAGGGCCAATGCATCTTTCCTCCCCTTTAATTTCTTAGAGGTGTAAACAACATAATTTATTCTTGTTATTCCATAGCAATTTAGTCATTTGTGAAAGTTCCATTAAAAACTACCTGCTGGTAATTCAAACTCAGTGTGACTAAAATTGCTTCTGAATTTGAGTTATGGATTTAGGAATGAAACAATATATTTCTTGATTACATAACTTCAATTTCTCCTATGAAACAGTGTTTGAAATCTGGTTTTTATTAAGAAAAAGTGGCAAAAGAATGTTGGTGAATTTTCTTGTTATTATTATTATTATTGTTATTATTGTAAATGAGAATCAGACTCAAGTAAGTCCAAGCATGACTGCAACATTCAATTGTTGGAACACAATATAATTCACATACAAAGAGGCAACTATCCTTCTGTGAAATGAAGTGGAATCCGTTTGGTAGACACTAGCAATGCTCCAAACTTGATGAGTCTAGGTGTTCGATGAAAACTCAGTATGCCCATTAGCCAAGAACCACATGAACTTCTCCACATATAAAACTGTGATCATCCTAATGTATAAATGTAGTTATACATTCAACTGCTCCAGATTCTTCAAAATCTCCTTAAGTATAAAAACCTAAACCCTTTTTCATTACAATCGAGATTGCTCTACCAGGCTTGAGCTTCAGTTTCAATTCCCTCTGCTTCAGGCCTCCTGCTTCATGGTACAGCAAGATTAATCTGCTTTTATATCCTAGACTACATGCCCTGCTCTCACTTTTTTCATGTCTACAAATATATTGTTTCCTCTACTCAAATGACAGTACTATTTAGTAAAACTCTCTATTACACCCCTTCCTTGCCTAGGCAGATTTAAATGCATATTTTTTTTCTGTGTCACTGCAGTTTGCACATGTAACTCTAATATTCCTAGGGATTTATCATAACTGTTTGAGTATTTTTCCTTTTAAAAAAACAAAAGACCTTGGAAATGTTTTCCAGGACTTAGTATAGCATTTGGTAGATGAAAAAGATCTACAAAAATATGAATGAATGAATGTTGTCCACTAGTACAAAAATTGACAATACATGTAAGAGGAATATTAACATTAGTGACTACTTATTGAGTTCTTAGTACATTTCTAGCCCAGTGCAAAATGCTATAGAAGCTTCTCCTCTAGTTCTCACCAAGCCCTGTCAGGTGGAGTCTATGATTTCTGTCTCACCTTTGAAAAAAGCAGAAACTCAGAAAGGTTAGTCAAATAGGCCACACACTGTCATAGAATGAAATCAGATGTGAAACTAAGTCTATCTGCCTCCAGTAACCGTGCTTTCTCACGTATACCCAGCTGCCTTGTGATTATTGTCAAGATCCTCAAAGACACAAATTAGATTTTGATTTAATCTTTTCCATTTCTTTCCAGCTCCAAGTACAGCCCAGTATGGAATTACCGGGAGCGCCGAAGTTCTTTTCTCCTGCTGGTACCTTGTGTTGACACTGTCCTCTTTCACCAGCATATTCTACCTGAAGAATGCCATTCTACAATAAATTTAAAGACCCATAAAAGGCTTTTAAGGATTCTCTGAAAGTGCTGATGGCTGGATCCAATCTGGTACAGTTTGTTAAAAGCAGCGTGGGATATAATCAGCAGTGCTTACATGGGGATGATCGCCTTCTGTAGAATTGCTCATTATGTAAATACTTTAATTCTACTCTTTTTTGATTAGCTACATTACCTTGTGAAGCAGTACACATTGTCCTTTTTTTAAGACGTGAAAGCTCTGAAATTACTTTTAGAGGATATTAATTGTGATTTCATGTTTGTAATCTACAACTTTTCAAAAGCATTCAGTCATGGTCTGCTAGGTTGCAGGCTGTAGTTTACAAAAACGAATATTGCAGTGAATATGTGATTCTTTAAGGCTGCAATACAAGCATTCAGTTCCCTGTTTCAATGAGTCAATCCACATTTACAAAGATGCATTTTTTTCTTTTTTGATAAAAAAGCAAATAATATTGCCTTCAGATCATTTCTTCGAAATATAATACATATCTAGATTTTTCTGCTCGCATGATATTCAGGTTTCAGGAATGAGCCTTGTAATATAACTGGCCGTGCAGCTCTGCTTCTCTTTCCTGTAAGTTCAGCATGGGTGTGCCTTCATAAAATAATATTTTTCTCTTTGTCTCCAACTAATCTAAAATGTTTTGCTAAATCCTACCATTTGAAAACAAAATTAAACCACAGTGATAAAGCTAAACTATACCCTATCTCTAAAGAACAAAGGAGGTATTAGACTGTAAACTCTTCTTCTTCGTTATCAGTGGGGTTCTAGAATTCTCCCCACAATAACTCAATTTCTGTGATGAAAACAGTTTAATAACATCGTACCGTAGATGTACCACATGATTTCGTTAGTTGTAGCTAAGTGTGAGATCCACTGTGGGAAATCATTCCCTCCAAAATGATAGCACAGTCCATTCCAGGGCTTGCCTAGCAATACAGCATCTTCTCCTTTCATTGTCTAAATCAGTTTTTAAGATGGTTTGTCAGAAAGAACACAAAGTCTTATTACCTAATATTGCATTCGTTGGTAAGCACTCAAAATTAATTTGGTTTTGTGGTAGGTAAGCTAGTATGACAGAGACAGTGCTCCCCTGAACAGGAGCATTTTGCATATTTTCCATCTGAAAACATCACTCAATTGATACTCTGGATGCATGTTATATTTTTAAAAAATTAGCTCCAAAATATAATAAATATTCCACGTTGGTATGCAGCAGATCAAGCATGGAAATAATTAAATAAATCCTCAATAAAATCTTCCTCTATAACTATTTCAGTTCAAAGAAGTGAAGCTTAAAAAAAAAAATCATGCTCTGTTTCTTCTTACATTTTAAATGTAAGATGTGATCAAATGACAATAAGACACAGTGATGAGACTACCTTAAGCTATATTAATTATTAAATTATTGCAAAAATTAAATTATTTCTATTATAAAGATGGAAAACGACATTTGAGAAGGAAAATGCTGTGACTCTAAATATTATATTACAGGAATAGTTTGATGGTTTTACGCTTTACTAAAGAAAGATCATAGCCTTGAAAGCCATTTTACAGGTTTGATGAAGTTACTAGCTTCAACACAAATTTCTACAAATAGACCCCATTTGCAAGTCATAACAGCAAAGATCATACTAATAAAATTATAAGAATATAAAAAACTTTACAGAGGTTGTACATATTTAAGATATCTAATATTTTGCCCTAGAAGGGAGAGCTTGAAAATGATCATTTTCCAAGTAAAATTTAGTCCCAAAGTACACTATAAATCCATTTTAATTAGAAAAGTGAATCTTAAATGAGGGGGCATAAATATATCATCTTTCCACAAAATGGCAATAATATGGCATAATGCTATTAAATTTACTAACTGGGATAGATTTATGACATTATTTTGACTGATAAATTAAAAATGGGCTTTTGAACAAATATGGATTTAACTTTATTTTTTATTGCTTTTTAAAAATGTTCTTTGTGGAATCGGTGAGTAAACTACACTTTTTTTTTTTTTGTATTGCAGCTTTAAAGTGGCACACTCCATAATAATCTACTTACTAGAAATAGTGGTGCTACCACAAAAGTGTTAACCATCAGTACCATTGTTTGGGAGAAAGAAACAGATCAAGAATGCATATTATACAGTGATCGCTTTCCTAGAGTTAAAATACCTCCTCGTTGTAAGGTCTGTAGGGTAAATGTGAGGTAAATTGAGGTATAAACTATGGATGAACCAAATAATTAGTTCAAAGTGTTGTCATGATTCCGAATTTGTGGAGTCTGGTGTTTTTTCCATAGAATGTGACAGAAGTACAGTCATAGCTCAGTAGCTATATGTATTTGCCTTTATGTTAGAAGAGACTTTCTTGAGTGACATTTTTAAATAGAGGAGGTATTCACTATGTTTTTCTGTATCACAGCAGCATTCCTAGTCCTTAGGCCCCTGGACAGAGTGAAATCATGAGTATTTATGAGTTCAATATTGTTCAAATAAGGCTACAGTATTTGCTTTTTTGTGTGAATGTATTGCATATAATGTTCGAGTAGATGATTTTACATTTATGGACATATGAAATGTCTGATTACTCCATTTTATCAGTCCTGACTGTACAAGATTGTTGCAATTTCAGAACCGCAGTTTTATAAAATTGATTTGTCTTTCGATCTATAAAATTTTTTTAGCTATTCATTTTGGCACTATATTTTTCAAAGTTCCATTTGTGGGACTCCTTTCGTTGCCCCTAAAATTTTTTTAAAGAAGAAAGGGAAAAAAATAAAGAGCAGTTAAGAAAGGAGAGTGGAGAAAAAAGAAAAAGAGAGAAAAGGAAAAGAAATAAAGAGGGGAAGAAAGGGAAGAAAGGAAAGGAGGAAGAAAGGCATGATAGGAGAGAGGAAAGATGAGAAGGAGGAAAGAACCAGAATATTAGGGTAGTTAAGTTACTCATTTGCATCCTTGGTTTAAACTGCTAATGGTGTAATTATGTTTTACAATGATCTCATTTGAAACATGAGTCCTGTTACACCATTACGTTTCTATTATGCAGCAATTATATAATGAAAAGTATTGCCCAAGTATTAGTATTATGTGTTTTTTTGAGACACTAAAAGATTTGAGAGCAAGAATTTCAAACTTAAAGCCACTTTTGGGGGGTTTATAACTTAACTGAAAAGTAAATGCTTCATTATAACATTAAGCTATATCTAGAAAGTAGACTGGAGAACTGAGGAAATTACCAGATAATTCAAGACAAAAAAATATATTTAAATACCCCTATATCTGAAGTCAGAAAACTCTGAGAAACTGAAGTATAAATGCCAATCATCTATATCAATCAAATTTACCGAGTAATTGTTAATTTATCCATTGTGCTTAGCTTTGTGACACAGCCAAAAGTTACTATTTAATCTTTTCAATAAAAATTGTTTTTTGAAATCCAGAAATGATTTAAAAAGAGGTCAGGTTTTTAACTATTTATTGAAGTATGTGGATGTACAGTATTTCAATAGATATGAATATGAATAAATGGTATGCCTTAAGATCCTTTGAATATGTATTTACTTTAAAGACCGGAAAAAGCTCTTCCTGTCTTTTAGTAAAACATCCATATTTCATAATCTGATGTAAAATATGTTGTACTGTTTCCAATAGGTGAATATAAAGTCAGTTTATCAATTAAAATATGTATTTGACTCATTTTAAAACTCTAGTAGTTTAAGAAAAAAAAAAGTAACGGTTTAAACACATTTTTGCTATTCCCTTCTTCATTTCCTGCTATATCCATGTGTCACACTCACATCTTTCTGGTACTCCAAAGCGATGCAGTGTGAAAATTTTAGATGCTATTATTTCAGAGGGCTCCATACTGTAGTCGTTCTGTTGTTGATTCTCTAAAGGTGCCACAGGCAGAACTACATCTAATCTAAAATGATTTTTTCTGTGGGAACAACAGTTGGCGTAATGGCTATGTCATGGGACTCCCATGTGATCTACCGTGGTTTGAGTCCCAGACCCAGTGACTTAAACTCACACTGGGCACGTGTGTGTGTGTGCCCAAGATCCCTAGAGGAGAATGGAGGAGAAGGGATTGCGGCATATCCATCTCACCTGGGAGGGTGATTTCTCACTTTCTGTCTCTCTCTGTCTTTCTGGCAGGTGCACACGCCCCTATAGCAAAAACCTCTCAAAAAAAAAAAAAGATTTTTTTCTGAAAATATTTTATTATCAGTTCTTTAGAACTTTACCAGCTGAACAACAGTAGAGTTAGCAACAGAGACTAATGATAAAATCCTAATGGTTTTACAGACTGGCCAACTGAAAATTTGAATGACTCAGAAATGCAATTTCTTAAGATGGCTGGGTATAAAACAATAGGGAATGGATGTTCCACCTCGAGACATTCAAATACAGTTTTCTTAAAAACACCTTGATTTTTTTTTAATTTGATTTGACTGTGAGCCCATAATTTGTAGATACTATAATATGCAAGGGGGCCCACTCCAAGTGAATGATTTAAGTCCTCTTTTCCAACACTGTTCATCTGTAATGGTCAGCCAAATCAAAAGGAACAATACAGTAGATAAAACAACTGACAAAGATCCAAAGATGAAAGATACTTGTGCTTGGTTTAATAAGGTATTTCGAAATATGGTGCTATTGTTGTTTTGAAAAAACCGTATGTACCAAACCCACTCCACCCTTCCCATCACCACCAAAGAAGAGGTTAAAACAGAAAACACACTAATGTCTGGTTTTTCCACTGCCTCACTATTTCTTTTCTTTTCAACTTGTATCCTGATTTCAATTATATTATGGGACTAGTAGCATCAAGTATCAGACTCAGAGAGCTACCACATGAAGCAGAGCTATTTTATAGCTTCTCTTTAAACATAGTTAGTCCAAACAGACATACAGTACTTCAAATACCACATCTAGATACTCAGAAAATAATTACATTGACCTGTTAGGCAGAAATATGAAAATTTCAGGACAAAAAAATCCAAAAATTATTCATTCAAGACAGAATTTGATCCAAACTCCTGAGAGTCAATATACTCTCTCTAAACTTCCCAAGAGGCATATGCCTTCACATTTACATACAATTTTTCCTGAGAATTCCAAATTTACTGAGACTACTTAGGAACTGATATTTCCGATGAAAGAAAAACAAACCTTCAAGCTAATTGAGTAAGTACTTTCATTCTTCCTGTAGAGGAAGAGAAGAGAAACAATTTTTAATTCTTCTCCAGAGAAACTTCACCCACTATCCTAAAGCTAGTCCAAACTATCCCAAGTCCTTCGGTCTAACAAACATGCTCTACCTCATGTGGCAGCTAGTTCCTTCCCAATGCACACACTGTGCCTACCTTGCATTTTGTAACAGCAAGCACTTTGGCAGACATTGATACTTGGCTTTCACACACTTTAAAACACTGAAAGTAGAAAATAGGATTGTCATGTATTGATGATAAAAACGAGATTCAATTTGTCACTTAACTGAAAATTATACTTCTACTAAGAGGCAGAGTTGAGCCAAATGTGGAATGCAGAATACTTCCCATCTGTTTCTATTCCCATTAGTCTTCCTAGGAATAAGAAAAGAATGTGATCACATGGTTAACTTCACAAAACTATGTATATTTATGTATCTATAGCCTTGCTTATACACACACCCACAGATCTTTATTTCCCAATGCTTCTGGAGGGTATGGAGTTTCAGACCAAGAGATTTTGTACATCTCATCTGCAACTTTTGGAGTGTGGAACATACAATGCAATTACCTTCGGACACACAGTCTTTGGTTGTATTAGATCTATCATATCAAATGGTGGATCTTGTTATTATCACATGTACCTTATTTTTAATATAACATTTTTCAAAGGAGCAGCCAAGTTTTGTATAATCTGCTAAGACTATTCCTCAGACATCTGCTATCAACACAATTCTTGGGGAAACAGAGATTAGAATACACACCCCCTTTTTTATTTTTGGAATTCAAAATAGAATATCAATTTTAACATCGACTCTTGTTGGTTGAATCACTTTATATTCAAATGCTAACTATGTGCATACCTGTTTGTGCTGTGGCAGCAGAACAAGAAGGTAGTTCTATTTCTAGAAATTAAACTATATGCATCATAAGAAATACATTTGCATTTTGTCATCAAAATATAAATATAATGCAAATCCTGTGGACATCACCATTTAGTTTATAAAAATATAAAAAAATTACTTATAAAATGAATACATTGATCCAGTAATGAAAACCTTGGTAAGATATTACAACAAAAGAAAAGGACATCCAAAGAACAAATACATTTGTAAATAAAGAATATTGAATTCAGTGTGCTGTTGGAGGCAAAGCTATCTCCAGAGCAAGTAAGAGAATTCAATTGAACTTTGCCCAATAGAATTTATTTCCATATGTATAGACAAAAAATATTTTGCTTTAATATCACTTATCTACAACGTGGAAAAGAGTTCAAATGTAATAAAAAGTTACAGATATGGAATCAGAAGCAGTTAACCTGAAAAATGTGCTCCAATATATGTGGATTTTCATTGCAGCAATTTTTTTTTCTTAAAATGATAAGATGTAAATTTTTTTAAATAGTAAATTAAATGAACTACTAATACTTTGAATATCAATAATATAATTCCTATTTTAATGACAAAAGCTCCCACGTTATCTATACAGCTTACTATTCTACATTCTCTAAATTCCCTTTACTCTCTTTCTTCCTTATCACACAAATTATTACCCAATAGTCTCGGACATGAAGAAGGGGAAGTAACCATTAATACAAAACTACCATGCCTCAGTAATCTACTTTGATGAAAAGTACTTTTTTTGGACACTTGTTAAAAGAATTAAAAGT